CAAAATGTGGTCTATCTATACAATGGAACATGATGGAGCCCTCCAAAGGAACAGAGGCCTAACTCACGCTAAGACATGGACAAACCTGGAAAACATGCCATGTGAAAGAAGCTGGTCACAAAAGACCACATAACACGATTTCATCTATACAAAGCACTAAGACTGGGTAAGCCCTTAGAGACAGGACATAGATGAATGTGTCCGGCTGTGGGGGGGTATGGAGTGACAACAAAAGGATCTGGAATTTCTTTTTAGGGTGATGAAAATGTCCTCAGGTTGATGGTGGTGGTTTCTGCACACATCTGTGAAGTGTGCTACAACTGTTGAGTTGTACGCTTTAAATAAGTGCACTGTGTGGTGTGGGAGTGGCATCTCCATAAAGCTATTACCCAACCCCATCACCTTCCTCAAAAGCCTCTGGGATTTCTTCCTGTTTCTCCCAGTCTCCATCGGTACCAACTATGCCCAAATGACCCTTCCCTTCTACAACTCTGTGGTGCCCAGGGGAGCCCAGAGCCCGGGGACCACTGGTTAGTGGGCACCTTGATGTCTCCAGGGTCCTGTACAGAGGCAGGTGCTCAGGGGCCTTTCAATACACATTGGACCAGTGGTCAAGGGGACTCAGTGATGTTCCTGACCACACTGAAGGTTGTGGCAGCTGCCAGACGAGTGCCCACTTTCTAGGGAACAGCATTTGTTATTGTGCCCCATGTTTTTCTGGGAGTCCAAGGAAGAAATTTCAGGGACACTGGATGTCTCCTAAGCACCAAGGGAGCTTCCCTCTTTGCTAGAAACACAGAATAAAACACGCAGCCCGGTCAGTGCCTGCCAGGTCTCCCAGTAGGTGGACTCGATATATGTACTTTTCTAGGCAGGGGTTGCCACTGGCAGGAGGAGTTCAGGTGCTGCCCCAACACAGACTAAATTATCCAGACTGAACATCAACAGCTCTGGGGCTGAGGGAGGCCTCTCTGCCTAAGCCAGGGTCTGAGGTCATCTCTCAATGTTGCTCCTTCTGGACAAGGCAAGCCTGGACAGTCCAGTAAGCAGGGGACAGCTGGTCACTGGGAGGGGAGACTCAAAGAACTCTTTCCAGATAAACCCCAGCTAATCAAGTGACTGCCGGGCACCTAAATCCTCCCCTGCCAGCACAGAGAGGTACTGAAGGGCCCATCCAGCAGGGGAGGTGGAGACTTACAATCTTTGCTTTTTTTTTCAGTACTGGAGATTAAAACCAGGGCCTTCACACTGAGCTACATCCCTAGCCCCTGTCTAAAAAATTTGAGACAAGGTCTTGTTTTTTGTTTTTGGTACCAGGGATCGAACTCAGGACCTTGTGCTTGCGAGGCAGGTGGTGGAACCACTGGGCTAAGTCCTAGGCCCGAGACAAGGTATTGTTAAGTGCTAAATTGCTCAGGCTGGGCTCAAACCTGCCATCCACCTGTCTCAGTGTCCTTCCAGAGGGCTGGGATTATAAATGGCACCACCACACTTGGCTATTTTCCATGGTTTAAATGGCAGAATACATTGTTCTCTCATAATGAAGAATTTAAGTGCCTATTTTCTCTTTGAACTACGTGACCAAGGGATGGTGAAAACAAAACCAAACCAAGAAGGGGCCAGAAGCTCCTATGTGCCCGGCCTCCAAGACATAGCCCTACACAGCAGGGTGGGGGTCACTCTATCCCTCACGGCTCCTGGTCAGACCCAGCTGCTTGCTTCAGCCATGAGCTCCTCACCAGGGCCCTTGTCCCACTACACCACTTGGGACATGGGACAACATCAGGGAGGGGCAGAGCTTTTTTTTTTCTTGCCACTGCCGAACCTCAGGTCCCTTACCTTGGCGTCCTGTGGCCTGCACTCTGAAGAGAAGATTTTGGAAGGTGCAGATTTTCTACCAGGAAGAGAAGGACCTCAACCCCACCTATTCTAGGGGTTCTGGGTCTCGGGCGGTTGGCAGGTGCAGGCCCCAGAGAAGGTGAGGCTGCTCAGGCTCAGAGCTGCAACAGGCCCACAGCACCCACTCACGAAGCTCTGCCACCACACTCAGCTCAGTGGCACGGGTCCTCCTGGGTGTCGGTCCCTTTCCTTCAGTGGGTTTTGTGGGCCCTGGCTATGAACAAAGCTCCAACTCCAGCAGTGGATGTGCTGTGGGTTGGCAGCCACCTGGGCCCAGGGCCAGCTCCAGCACGGACTCTGGTGGGCACAGGGCCTCCGCCATCCCTATGTGTCTGGTCCTTGTCCTCACTGCTACTGACTGTGCAGCAACCACAGCCCCGAAACTGGCTCAGTGGATGTGGCTTCTCCACTGGAGTCTTCCAGAGGCAGCAGCATGGGGCAAGGGGCCACCAACTGGGACCCTACCTGACAGATAGGCACAAGGACAGCAGGGACCTGCACAGAAGATGGGCGGGGGCAGTTTCCTGGAGGAATGTGACATGGAGCCAGCCTGCCCGCCTGGATGTCCGCCCCTGGGCTTCACGCAGCCCCCATAAGACAAGTGTCCTCGGTCTATGATGTCTGCATTGGCTCCACCCTGTCAGCCTTCTCTCCACCTTCTGAGATTCAGGGTACAGGACCATTTGGAGGGGGAGCCGGGGTCTGGCCCCTTCCCCACTCATCACCTGCTGCGCCCTACCCTGCTTTGCCTACCCAGCCACCTCTCACCTCCTCCAGCAAGTGTCTTCCCCATATCTTCCCACGGCCTCCCACTCCCTGGTCCACATCTCCGCTCTTACATCACTGCCCTGCACCCATCTCCCTGCAGCCTGGCCTCTCTATCACATCGTCCAACTTTATGCCTCGGGATAGTGACACTCCTTGAACAGGTTTCTGGGGGTGCTTGTTTTCTCTGCCCCCCACATCAGGATGCAATGGCTGCGACAGTGGGGACCTTGCAGTTTGAATTCAGGCAGAATCTCCAGGGTCTAGCCTAACCCCCAGTACCAAGAAGCCTCTCAAGAAACATTTGCTGAATGAATGAAAGCTATCAATGGCTAGCTAGGGCACGACAAGATTACAGTACAGATTCCCTCTTGAGAAATTTCCATCAGAATTGAGTCCACTGTGGCCAAACCGGCTGACCATTATCCTCTCACAGCTGGACTTAGGATACAAAACCTTAAGAATTCTGCCATCTAATGGACTTCTAGAAGAAGTGTTCTTTTTCTTTCAGGTCCAAACAATGGGCTGAAGGACGAACGGCATTGTCCACAGGAGAAACCGACAAGGGCCACAGCCCTAGAGCCCTGAGAGGCAGCCAGCCAATCCGGGGGTCTGTGCTTGAGGGAAACCACAGCTTCGGGATGCTCAATAAAAAAATGGGCCAGGGATTTGGCTCAGTGGTGCCTCCACCTGCCTCGAAAGCGCAAGGACCTGAGTTCGGGTCCATTCTGATGCCAGAATGGATTCACTGTTAGAGATGATGAGTTGATGATGTTCACTAATTC